TAGATATTCGAACTGTTGCAAAATAAAAAAAAGAATTTACTTCATGAACATAATTATTTTTAGAAACTGCATCCTTACAACCGATCACTATTAAACGAAAGATCAATATTGTTGTGGCCTCTCTCGGTGTGACAATACCATCAGTAGCAATGACCTCATGTCAAAATTGTGAGATCCTGTCGTTCGATGATGTATGCAATTGTGTTTCAAGTCTATTATCAATTACAGATAAGTTTATTTATCTAATTATATCGGTCACACTAGGAACATTTGTTGTGCCATTAATACATAATCACAAATATATTGAACACATTTATATTCATGAAAAAGCTGATGATAAACTACCGATGGATTTGATAGAAGAATATTCAAAGATTCATGGACATGACAATTCGATGGATCACCTCATCGAGAAAATCAAAGAAGACATTGATATCATCACGAAACGTGCTTTTTATTGGTCGAGATCAAAAGCATTATTGACTCAGTTATGTTCACAGGCGATCCAAAACAATTTTTTTACAGTTTTCGATGATGAACCCGAATGTGACTTGAATTCATTATGTATCTTAATATTAAATTTGGGCCGGGATTCATCGTTGGATCTGTCTCATGAAAATATTCGTATCCATAAGTTCGATGATATTAAGAAATGTACTGATTGGATTCAAGCTAAGAATTCTACTACAATTTTTCTGATCATATTGACCAACCAACTCATTGATGACATTCAATCTATAGCTGAATTAAATGCCGTTCTTGCACTGTACATCGTTACATATGCAGACTTTCATGAATACATTCAAACAAAATCAGCATATCCAAAATTGAGCGGAATATTTAATCACGACGAAGATTTGCTCGAACAACTGACGGCAGACATTTGTTTCTATCGTCGTAGTCGAATACATATACCGATTATAAGTGTTTTTAAAATTGAGTTCAATATTCTTGACAAACTTACTAATGATCAAATCACTATTATTCGGTTTCAATTATTCACTGAGATATTTTCGCAATTACCGATTCAATTCACTTCGACTACTGTTGATTTCGATACTATGCCTGTTAATCTATTCTTTTCTTATTTAATCAAAGCAAATAGAAAGATCAAAAATTTATTCAGACGATTCAATACTAATACACTCAAAAAATCGGTCGAAACATTGAAGTTAATCAATCAGCGTATTGTATCATTGGCGGAAAAGATCAATTCGTCCTCGATCACTTTTTATCGAGCTCAACTAATATCAAAGAACGATTTAGAACTAATGAAAAGCAATACTAATATACTACTAATTTCACAAACATTCATTTTGGCCTCGCGTTCGATTCATTCCATTATGAATATTTGTCGTCGAGCCGTTGAAAATCAACTCATTGCAGTTCTTTTCGAAATAAAAATATCCGACAAAACATCAGTCGCACATCTAAATCCCGATATGATCGTATTCAATCTTGGTACCCTTTTTCGACTAGTATCTATCGATTTGACACCAGATAATGTCTGGCATGCTCAACTTGAGATTGCCGATGGAGCAATGCAACATATCAAAGATCAAATTCAATCTAAAATCAATGCTCGTCTCACTTGGTTAACATTTGGCAACTATTTGACTGTTCTAAAACAAAACATTGCTGCTGACAAATATTATCAGTATCTTTTGCATATACTTCCACCTGATCATCCTAGTCTCGTATCGATTTACAATAATATGGGTTTAATGTATACACTGATGAATAATAATGAAAAAGCATTGGAGTGTTTTGAGAAAACATTCGAATTTCATGCTCAATCTTCGTCACAAGCAGTTGAACAAACAGATTCACTAATGTCGGTTTTACGATCTTCTCATGATTCCACTAATCGTCAATTAGCTACACTCAATAAATTAGCTGAAATGAGCTATCGTCTCGAAGATTATCCAACAGCACTTGATTTTTATCGTCAAGCATACGACATGACAGATGACGAAAAGTTGCGTGAATTATATCAAGCTAAAATAGAATTTCTTTCTTGTTTTTGTCGTAGTCGTTAATTAAGATGTGCCCTTCAATATGATTGTCTTCTATTTGTCATTTACATTTTAGATATAATCTTTATTTGAGGATAAAGTCGATATTTTAGTTAGCGACTAACCTATTCAATTTATCTTTGTTACGTAAGTACGATAAACGTTCCATTGAATTTTGTAACGTTATAATATAAACAGGAATCAACCGATCGTATGTGACACATCATTGCACAGTGGGTTATATCCGTAGAGCGCATAGCCATGACTCATTTTCTGTCAAAAATCGTATTTTTCCCTTAGAAATATTAGTTTCTACTGGTTGAAAGAAAATAGCCGATGAAAAAAAGCAAAGTTCAAAAAAAGAAATCTTCAATAGAACACCTAAGACACTATATATAAATTATTCGATGCAGTTCTTCACACTGATTCTGAAACTGCCGTTACGTTTGTCTAAAAGTGCTTTTGAGTAACGAAAATCACTAAAAACCAAGATTTTTTAAAAATATCTATACTTCAGCTCAAAGGTGTTTTTGCATACGAAGTAAGTGCGTTGGATGTGAAAGAATATTCCATGAGAATTTCATTGAAATCTGAGTTGTGATAGAGTCTGCGGACTCACTTCACTGAAGATATCTCATCAGAGAAAATACTGGGAAGTTTTTTTAATAAATCAGTTTTCTTTCTCATGTCGCTGAAACGTGTTATTTTTCTGCAATAAAGCTTGTTTTACGAATTCAAACAGCCGAAGTAAAACCGATCACTTCATTTAATTGTGCAGAAGAAAAAATATACTCTACATTATTCAAGCTACTAAAAATCTCATTTTCACCTTTTCATCTAATGACAATTCATAAAAGAATAGAGAAAAAAATATTTCGATGCAGCCTTTTGTCTCTTTCTCCAAATAGTACCTTGAGAGCTGTAACTTTCGAAGAGATAAGCTTTTGACATTGTTTCCTCATTGCTCTGACATACTAGAGAATCTGCAAGTACTGCAGAAAATCCCACACCTAGTGCGATAAGGCTGAAGAAGTTTCTTTTGATCAACTTCATGTTCAAGCCATATATTGATCTCAGTGCTAAATTACATATCGAACAATTACTAATATTTTTTTCGAATTTAGGGCCGCAATTTTGACATACACTATTTTGCGATGACTTTCAGAACGAAAAACATTTTTCATGAAACATAACTTTCAAATATTTGGATTTTGAGATCCTTAGCTTGTATAGATGGTAGAAAATTCAAAACGTCTGTGGATACCAATCCTCGATATTAGTCTGACTTAATCAACTTAAACCAATCTTGATAAACATCAGTAATAATTTGAAAAAGAAAGTGAGATTTTTTACAGCTCTTGTAGAATTGAATAGAATTTCTTGAATTACTTGTCGTTGGCTATTTCCGTTGCAAGATTGTCGGAGTACACTCAAGTTAACGGCAGAGAAATTTAACGACTCTGAAGGTAGGGCTGATGATATTAACAATTTCGATCGTTATTGCAAGATTGGTGAGAAAAAGAACGACGAACGCTCGATCAATTCCGTTGCTGAAAAAATGAAAATCAATATTGAAGTGGTCACTTTCCCCCACTTCGTAGACATTTTGAATGGTTTCTGAAAGAGTTTGGACTGAAATCCTTTCTTTTTAGGTTACAGGTTTTTAGCTGGTACGTTTTATTCATGCAGTTGGAAAGATTCCTGACTGGGTAAGTACACATCTTCTCTAGCACATCACAGTATCGAGACGACAACATCAAACACTGATCCCTTTGAAAGCTAAAGTTCTCTTTAAAATAAGCCTCTGGAAAATAGTCTCGCGACCTTTTCGAAATGCTATTCTCTGTTCTATTTTGACTTTTCACACCTTCCTTTCTCAAACTTGATCAGACATCTTAATTTGACATGGAGTGTTGTGCATAAACATATTCTTGTTTGTGCCATAATATAACGGAATGACTTATTTTAGATATCAATTCAAATAATTGTTATAGTTTATATTCCACTTCAAATTGATCACCTCATTATCTCGTTATTTCTGTTCAAAGAATAATTAACTCAAAATGGGACAAAGACGTAAGCTACCCAATGGACAAAATCTTATGTGCATTGTCTATCATGATGAAAAATTGCCTTTACATCATCTACGTCAATTACGATCTTGTCTTTATCAAATATTTGACTACTCAAGTATTTTTAGTGATCTTCTTACATTTTCTACTTATATCAAGGATAAATTCATCGTAAATAAATTAGTTTTTATTCTAAGTGGTAATCAAGCTCACCCTCTATGTTGTATGGTGCAAAGTCGTACACAGAGTCCAGCAAATTCTTTTCTCTATGAGTTACAATTTGGCCAAGAAAAATTACGATCGAACTTAGCTAATGGCCAAAGATTTCAAAATATCGACCGATTATTTGACAAGATTGTTGATGACGTTAAAGGATACATAAAGAATGAAGATAACCATTGTCAAGAAAATATTGAAAATGATGAATTAATTCTTCGCCGATCAGCATTATCATTTGGTATTTGTGATCAATTTCGACAACAACAATCATTCTATTGTTTACCTCACGAATCACTTAAATTTCTATTATTTCAATCGTTTGTCGAAGAACTCTTGAGAATTGAAGATAAAACAGAAGATCTTGACAAAATGTGGTCAGCATGTCGTAATGAGGCGATCAATGAGAACAATATGACTTATATATATCAAATCGATGAATTCGAGTTACTTTATGATCCAAACAAGGCCATTCAGCTTTATAGTAAAAATTCATTTCTTTTTCGATGGATCAATGCAGCATTACGATGTGAAAATATGGAGAAAATCTTCACATTTCATCCATTTATAACTCATTTACATAAACAATTAGCAGTACTCAGTCGGCAACAGGAACTGGAGAGAAGTTCTTCACAATATACACTATATCGAGGTAAAAAATTGCCAAGAAGTATTTTACAACAATTATCAGATAATAAAAATAATCTTATATCGATGAAAGGCTTTCTTTCAACG